AGTGAAAAATATAAATTATATAACTACTTTGAGAGTTTTGCGCGCTGCAATTTCAATGAATAGACAGTGAAAGTGTAACAATTTTAATCTCTGATTCAAATATTAAGGATTGTGAGGTAAAATATCTATGTGCCATTTAGCCATTCCACCAATAATTACGACATGTGCGACTGTATCGAATGTATGTGGCATTCACGCGGCTGTTTAAGGTATATACAGAAATCCATAGTTAACAATCAATTGAGCCGCCTCGATGTCCAGTCGCACATCTTTCCATCTCGTCGACGGCGAGTCCGGCCGTAACTAAAATGGCATTCAATGTAATTTCGCGTAATTATATTTCGTATTTAAAATTATGTACGATCGCTCGAAATGCGTGAAATGCGCTCAGCATTAATATCAATTAATTCAATTAAAATCAACATTATTAGTAATATTAATTTCAATCGACATTAATTAATATTGGTCGCAGAAGAATCTCTGCAGTTCAACCGATCGTATAAGCGCTGCTTTGTGCACTCCGCATAGAAGTTGTTTTGATTGCATATGTATTATTCGATATTTACAGATTCGTGAAATACGATAAAAAAAAAAAACAACTATGCCGTATGACGAACGAGTCTCTTTTCGAGGAAAGTTCCTCTTCGCGTTTTATGGCAAGATGATCACGCGTTCGACGCGGTACCTCACTACTATCCTTAAATATTGCAACAATTTCTTTTATAAACACTTAAAAGCTACTTTTTTTGTCCGCACCTTCCTTAAACATATCCTCGTATGACTCAAAACCACATCCGACACTGAAAATATCATTATTAATACTATTGATTTACACATGTTCAACTAGTCAACTAAACAATAGTAAAAATTCGGCAACATTTCTAAATCGCAGGTCTCGCGTTGCTTTAGGACGAGTCTTCACAATTTCCACGAAATTTCTCACTAAACTATAGTAGCGAGTTCACTAAATTATCCTAGCACCATTTAAAGAACCTCATACATATTCCTCGGACGGTTTAGGGATGTTCGTCGGCAACCTGGGTACTCGACTGGCGCTGTCCGGCAGCTCCGCGATGTCAATGAAGACGCCGACGAGGCTCTCGAAGTTGGGTCCCCAGTTGAGCAGGTAGTCCCAGCCGAGAGCATCTTCGGCGGCGGTTGTGGTTGTGGTGGTATTCGTAGTGGTGGGCGAGCCGTTGTTGGTATGACTGCCGTAGAGGAGGCCGCCCATGTGAGTCGACAGATCGTCGTCCGAGGCGACGAGGGTGCTGAGGGAGCCGCGGAACGAGCTGTCGAAGCCGTCGTAATTGCCGACGTTCGGCGGCAGTGGCGGCTTTGTCGACTGCGACGACTCGACGTTGTTTCTACCCTGGGGCCCGCTCCCCTCATCGTCCTGCTTGGCAAAAAGGTTGTCGGACTGCTTGTCGCCTGCCAGCGACCCGTTGTCATATTCGATCTCCGAGCACGTAAAGCTGTCGTTACCGCTCTCGTCGGTTGTCGACGAGTTACGCCGCTCAAGCCTCTCCACAGGTGGCGTGTGACGTCGATGATGATGGAGAGGCCCGTGAGCAGACGGGCCCCTCGCCTCGCTGGAGGAGCTCACGGCGTCGAGGGTGGAGACCAAGCTAGACGTTCTCGGCCGAGAATTCAGTCGCTCGATTTCCTCCGCCGTGAGACCCATAGGACCCGAGGACACGTTGTTCACCGAGTTTTCGTTATTCGACTGCGGCGCTTTTCTGCTGGCCGTTGAACCCGACAGCTGACTCATGATGGGCGAGTTCAGACTTCTTTCGCTATTGGAGTTTAGCGCATCCTTGCCGACGCCGCCGGACGAGGACGTGGTGGCCAGCAGCGCGCTTTGCAGCGGCTTCCCGCTGATGTCGTGAAGCGTGAGAATTCGCGGTTGTTGCGCAGACAGCTCGCTGCTAGGCGATAGTCTCGCCAAAGGAGTGCTCTGAAGCAACTTGGGCGCTGGTCCGGATGGTTGATTCACGTTCGGCGGTGGCATCGCCCTTGGTGGAAAGGGTCCGGTATGTCGATGTTGCTGTCCCGTGTGCTTGTGATGGTTGCCGTAGTTACCTGCACACATAATTTCTTATTAAACTGTTTATATCACATATTTTAATAAAGAGTGCTGTAGAATATTGAAAAAATTGACATTTTTCAATTAAATTATACTATAAATGTCCGTCAGATGTTTCGAGGCCCACAAAAAAACTTTCCTACTTTTCTTTATTTCAAGAACAAGACTTATCCTTGTTCCTATTCTTATTCGCTATACATCGTTATTACAAAAGATTTTGTTATTTATATTTTGAAAATTCAGGAAAATATAAGAATTAAAGCTAACTGGAGAAGGAATTTTCCAATTTTTAAAAATATTTTTTTTTGAAAAGCAAAAATTATGCTTTTCTCACCTATGGGAGGCGGAGTGGCTTTGTACTTTCTCATTCCGTCGCGATAACCCTTGTAATGGTACACGATGTCGATGTCGCTGGGTGCAATGGAGCTAGCGTTCTCCAGGTCGTAGTGTTCCGGAATGTCGGGTTCTGGATTGTGTTCGTGCGAGTGAAGGGAGGTCTGGGCGGGCGGCGGCAGCGGTGGGTGCTCATCGCGGATGGGCGGCGACTTAGTGACCTCCCGCTCGATGATATCTGGTCGCTGTGGCCGATGCTCGGCATTGGCGCTGATCTCACGCTCCTTGTATTTCTTTGAGATCAGTTCGGGACCCATGTGACCCACGCCGCGCAGATCCGATGTGTCGGAGATGTAGGTGTTCTCGTGACGAGACATGAGATTATCATTCCCGGCGCCGACCAGCGAATTGCCGGTCATAATAGCGTTCGTATTCTTGTTGACAACCGACGGCGCTGATTTCTCCTTGTTTTGTCGACGCAATCGGAACACTATGAAGCTCACCAGAATGGCGATCAGCAGGATAACGAAAAAGACGATGACTAAGGTGATACCGATACTGAGAGGATCCGCGGCCGCGGCTGCGCTGATGCCGATCTGTCGGCATCCGGTGCTCACTTTGCCGTGATAAAGCACGTCCTTGAAAATAGATCCAGAGCCATTAAACGGTTGCACCTCGTGGTTGACTGTGAAATTAGCCAGGCATCCTTCGAAGCTCTTGGCGCCAGCGCTATGAGCGTAATAGAAATTTTGACTGACTCCACCGATCGACAGGACGGATAAATAAGGGTCGAGGAAATCGTGGACACCCGTCAAGTCCAACTCGTCGCCCATCAAGACGCTGTCGACCAGTAGTCTTAATCCCCGGGAGTAGGCGTGGAGAGTCAGATTGTGCCAATGTCCATCGGCGAGGCCGCCCTCGATATTGATCGACATGTTCACCGGTGATTCAAGCAAGGACGTGTAAATCAGCTGGCCATTACGAAGCTAAAATATAATATATGACCGTGTTAATTGAAAATGTAAAATCGGAACTTAACTTTTTCGTTTGCATTATTTATCTCATTTATTTACGTTCTAAAAATCAGGAAGAATAAAAGGCAAAATTGGTGTATAATTTATGCTTACTTTATGATTCATTTTACTATTAATAATTGATAACATTTTTGAGAGTAATTATTCTTAAAATAAATAATTGCAAGACTTGTTGGATTAAAGAGATGTACTTGAAGAATTGCCTCACCTCTATAGATGTAAAATGCTTATTGGTTGCAATATAAATCAGGATACCATCAGGCTTCACAGTTCTGAACATCAGGCCGATTGTCTTCAACGGCGATGAGTTCGCTATGGAGCTCGTGTCCTGAATAAGATTGCGCTTAACGCGATTTGTATGGTTCCACAGCGTGGAACCGCCATAAAGGTATTCCAATAGTTGCATTCTTCTGTGCTTCTCTGAAACCTGTACAAACAAATGTCAATGATCACAAGTCAAAATTATTCAGAGATAGCATGAATAAAGTATTAACAGTTAGCCATAATAAAATATTTTTGTAGATTTAACATTATCATTGTTATAATAAAATTTCATTTTAAATTATACATGAAATAATGAGATTATACATTTTATAATTTATTGATTGTAAATTTCTTTCCGCTTATTTTTACCTTGAACTCGATAAATCCTCCGTCGCTCAACATCATGGCCTCCAAGGCGCCGTGGCAATTAGGTGCTCTCAAAGATCCACATTGACACATCACTTGATGCCACTTATCATAACACTGAGCGCCCACACCGCAGACGGAAACAGTGTTCTTCTCATCTTTCAAACAAGGATTCTGTTGCGATCTGACACACGTTGATTTCACGCCGCGCGACGCGAGTGGATTCGTCAGATTCAAAGTTCTTCCATTTATTGATACCGAGTGAATGCAACCCACAAAGTCATCAGAATGAATCTGGCCTGGACGTTCCAGCACGGGATCGGCGTTTTCCAAACCACCCAGTAGAAGAGGATTATTGTTGAAATTCAAAGTGCTGTAATATATTAAATGTTAAGCGCAAATTAATAATTTTAGATCTCTAAAGCGTTATCACATATTTTTAATAAAGAAAAACCGCTTTGACAGCTCTATTAAATATTATTTGTAATAATTACTTTCGTTGATAATTACTTTTAATGATAACACTTATTCATTTTAACGATGGAACACGTAAAATTGAAAAATCCAGTTCTGCGATTTGAAATCTTGTTCGCTTTGATAAATAAATTTTCCACTTTATAGAATTTATTTAAAAAATTACAGAATACCAACCCGGTCGGACCCACATCGTCCGCGTAACAAGTGCCGTCGCCGGGTTTACAATCATCGCAGACGTCGCCATGTTCCCTGCAGACGGACACGCTGAGCGAGACGACCCTACCGTTTCTGGTAGCGGTGACCTTGTGCCATTCGCCATCCGACACCGACTTTTTCGTCTTGATAGTGACGGTAGTGATCGCGCTTCTGGCACCGCCGTACGAAAAGATCACTCGTCCAGCCATCAGCTCCAGTACGACAAAGTCAGAGCGGCCGCCTGTTTGTGGTGCGTAATTGTATAGTAATAGCGCATCCGGTTTTGTGGTGGCAAACACGATAGTGATGTCGTTTGTATTGGAGTCAAGCGCTGGGAATGTCATGTATGAGAGTTCATCGAAGCCGAAGGTCGAGCGCTCGCAGTGCCGCCCGTAGCGACCCTCGGGACAGCTGCATCGATATCTGTACGTGACAATTTTATTTTTTATTTCAGATAAATTGATAACAAATGTTGAAAATCACAATTTCAAGATGCTAATTTGTAATTACTAAGTGATAAAATATTTTTAATTATAATCAAATAATTAAATTGCTGTAATTATATATAATAAGAAATCAACGAACCCAGGTTTATCACTAACGCACAAGCCGCCGTACAAGCAAGGATTTGGTCGACAAGAATCGGTGACTGCTTCGCAGTGATTTCCTCTGTAGCCTGCTCGACAAAGGCAGAAGAAGCTGAAGCTGTCCGGGCTCTTTCTGCACGAACCGCCGTTTCGACACGGATTGCTAGCACATGCGTCGCCTCTCTCGAGTTCGCACAGTTTGCCATCACGATCCATAGGACAAGTACATTGAAAATCATATCCCAAGCGTCGACATTGTCCTCCCTATAAAACAATAAAATGTATCTTGTAAATACTTGTGCTTCATATCGATTTTTATGAAGCATTAAAAACGGCCAGAAAATAAGTCGAAAAAAAATTAATTTTTAGAAAACTTGGTGATTTCTAATTTTATGCGTATCGTATACATTTGCTCGTCTATCATCATATCATTTTAATAAATCATTTTTACTAACTTTGCTAATATTAAATGCTATCACAAATACAAAAGTTATAGATATAGTTAAAATATCAACTTTAATTTTAATTTTACTATATATTTAATTTGGTTTTGCATTTAACATTTCTTTACGAATCGTTTTTAAAGTACTTTGATAAGTACTCACCAACAAACAGGGATTCGGCGAACATGGATCTTGCCTTTTTTCGCATCTGTCGCCGGTGAAGCCATCCCGACACTTACAGTTCATCTCGTGCAGCACTCTGGGCGATGTCAGAATCAACGCCTGGCTATCGGTAATCCTGGCATCGTCGTATATAGCTAAGTGATCACTGCAGCTACCTCCGTTCTCACACGGTATTTGCTTGCACGGAGAATAGCCGATAATGAAAGAGTTATCTTTGAATAGCATTTGAATTTCGTCTTGATTGCGCGTTAACAGTTCAGTCACTTCGTATTTCGTACGATATTCTGAAAAATGTTAAAATTATATATTTCACTGCTTTTTCTGTGTAACATGTAATATTAACATATAGTATTGATAGAATAAATAATCATAATATCAGAAAAGCAACAAAATTCATTTACTTGATATACTTTAATAACTTTGAACTGTGAGACATTCTATGTTTTATGACGTTAATAATGATATGAATAAGTGTGCATATGATATGAATAATATACACATACTTTTGATATTCTGATATTTTTTAACTTACCTTGCGGAGATTTTACTGCCAAATGGACGTTTAAATCTGGTCCATTTTCACTAATACTGAAAATGATAAATGTATCGCCGACCTCGATTTTCTCTTGTAGAAGATCCAGAAGTGCTCGGTAATATTGAGTGAGAAAATCTTTCGCAGTCAGTTTAGAAATTTGCAGAGTTACGCTGTTTTCGATCGTGGCGTTGGAAAAGATCAAAAACTCGACCGTGATTTTGGAGATTACGTCGGAATGTCGTCCGTCGTTGCCGGAGACGCTCAACGAATAGCCGATTTCTGTGCGATCAAAATATTAGAAATAGTAATAACATTCTATCAAGAATATTTCAATATTCATAATATCAGGTAAAATATTTAAACTTCTATCAATAATGTGTAATGTAGAAAATTGCCAAATAATATCGACAAATTAATATTGCTTTCTTTAGAATTCTTTAGATTGAAAAGTACGAATAAAAAAAAATAGCTAATCGTAAATTTTAAAATAGACATAAGAAGAATGTTTCATCTCTTTTCTTCGATTAATAAAGACGTACCTGATGTAATTTTGTTAGTGTGCAGATCGCAGGCGGTTGGTATACTTAGCACGCGTGAATTCGAGCCCTGAAGTATCTTACACGAATAAAGTCCAGTGATATCCGGATCGTTTGGATGTACGTCGGCGATTTTTCCCAGCGGTATCTTGGCGTTGAATGAGTGCACAATTACGTGCACTGATCTCGGTGTGGATGGGCTGTCGTTCTGATCTGTGATGATCACGGTGATGCTGTGTTCTCTCTTCATTCGGGGTACACCCGAATCTTCCACTTCAATCTACATTTAATTTTAATTTTTGCGATTAAATGTAAAAAAATAGCAAATATATATATATTAAAATACCAGATAAACATATATATCTAATTGTCCAATTATATATTTTTATTACTTTTTTATTTCAATTAAAATCCATTTTTAAATCGTAATATTTTTCGATAAAATATAAATTATTTATGAGTGGAAAAAAAGCCAGATACATTTTTGCGATTTGAATACCAACCATGAGATCCAGTTGCGGCATTGTTTCTCTATCGAGACTCTTTGTAGTCCTGAGTATACCCGAATGTTTGTCCAAAGTAACCATGTCGCTCTGTTTTCCTCCGATTAATTTGTATGTAAACGGCGCGCCGTTGGGCGGCAAATCGGGATCGGTCGCACTGAGAGTCATGATACTGGTACCAGCCGGTTCATTCTCGCTGACATAGCCGATAACTTCCGGTGGATCAAAGATCGGACCATTGTCGTTCACATCCTGCAACTCTATGTGCACCATCGTGGTGCCGGTTTGCGGCGGCGACCCGGTGTCGATCGCGCCGATCGTTAGATCATAAGCAGGCACGGTTTCGCGATCCAGATGTTTTGCTGTTTCGATGTCACCGGTCTGCGGATCGATCTTGAAGGCCTGGTCGACGTTGCCGCCGATAATTGAGTACGAGAACTGATTATTCTGCGGCTTGATGTCCTTGTCGACCGCGCGGACAGTGAGCATGCGCGTGCCGTGTACGGCGCCTTCGGACACCTTGGCATCGTACAAGTTCTGCAAGAACTCGGGCGGATCGTTGCCGTCTTGGATGGAGACGATTACCTGCGCCTCGTCGGTGTCGTTGCCGCGTATACCGCCGCCGTTCTTCGCCATTACCGTCAGCACCACACGATTCTGCGTCTCGCGATCGAGTCGACGCGACACTCTGATAATGCCGGTCTCCGAGCCGATGGAGAAACCACGGTCATTGGACGAGCCCACGAAGAGGTAGTACACCCGGCCGTCCTCGCCCGAGTCCTGATCAGTCGCTTGAACTAAGCCGACCGACGTGCCCACCTCGGCGCTCTCCGACACGTCCATGTGGAACACTGGCTGAATGAACTTGGGATAAAACTCGTTTACGCCGGTAATATGTACCATCACAGTCGTGAATCCGACCATCTGCGGACTGGAGTCCGGATTTGCCGCAACAATGTCGAGACTGAACTCGTTCGTCTCCTCATAGTCAAAGCTGGCATCCGACGTGATCTCGCCGGTGTCTTCGCGGATGCGGAAGTAATCCTTGCCACTGCCACCGAGGATCTTGTATTCTATTACAGCGTACTTGGGTGAGTCGATGTCTTGAGCGACCACCTGAAAGTGCACGAAAAGATTATGTTTGTGAAGAAAGCGCAAATATTACAATTTTGTACAATTATATTAATTTATCCGAGATATATAACATTTAAAACACTAGTTTAAAGTTAAAGATTATTGATTTATTTGAAGAGTGTAATGAAATTTGTATGTAATCCGAATAATTTCGTTCTTCAGCTAAGCTATTCAAGATTTAACGAAAAAATAAAAAATGAAAAGACTCGAATAATTAAGCAATCAAATATGAATAGGAGTTGACACCAGAAACAAGATTAAAATCTCAAGACACACACCTTGTAGACGAAGCTATCAGGCGGCGAATTTTCCAGCAAGAATGCTTCGTAGACGTTTCGTTTGAAAGTTGGAGGATTGTCGTTGATATCAGAGACATTGACGGTTAAGGTAGCCATCGCTTCCATTGGCTCGAATCCCAGATCCGTAGCAATGATGTTCAATTTATATTCCTGCACGAGATCGTAATCGAGAGGCTCAAGTATGGTGACCGCGCCGGTGATGGAATGTACGGAGAACTCGTTTCTCTCGTTGCCGGCTGAGATTCTGTAGCGAACCATACCGTTGGGTCCACTGTCGCCGTCCACGGCGCTCACCGTCAGAATGGTTGTGTTGACCGGCTCGTTCTCCGGCACTCTCACCTGGTAGCTGACGGCGGCAAAAGTCGGCGCATGTCGGTTTTCACCGGAAATCACGAGTGTTAGAATAACCTCGTCCTTCTGCGGTGGCACACCCTTGTCGGTGGCGCGCGCCTTCAGGAGGAACACCGTGCCGACGGCGATACCGTTGAGACTCCTGCGTACGTAGACCCAGCCGGATTGCTCCTCGATGGCGAAGAGATCGCCGGTAACGTTCACGCTCGTCAGCGAGTAAATCACCTCCGCGTTCACACCAAAATCGGCATCGTCGCGTGCGATCAGCTGGGTGATTCGCTTACCCAATCCGTAATTCTCCGGTACTGGCGATAGGTAAGATCTCTGCTCGAAGCGAGGCGCGTTGTTATTGGCATCCACCACATTTACATGTACCGTTACTCTCGAAGACATCGGCGGTTTGCCATTGTCTGTCGCCACCACTGTCAGCGAGTACAAGTTTTCCGGTGAGGATGGTCGATGCGTATGCTTGTAACGCAGAGTACGCTTGCTGAAGACGTCACCGGTCGCTGGATCGACGGTGAAGAGATCGGACGGTTGTAGCAGATTGTAAGATATGACCGAGTTTGGTCCTTGCTTGTCGCGATCAATCGCCGCGACCTGGCCGACGTGCGTTACCACTGATTGAAGCTCGGGAAAATGGAAGTGATAGATTTCCTTCTCGAATTCGGGCGCGTTATCATTTTGATCTTGAACGGTGATTGTCAGCGCAGTCTCCGCTCGCCATGCGCCATCCGCTGCTACAACCTGGTAAAATGATGGAAGAAATAGTTTTTCTTTTTAGACGCGACAAGTGGAATATATTTTATTAAGCGGAATAACTTTAACATGATTCGGAAGATGAAGCGCTCTAAGGAAAATCAAACATAATATTTAACAAAATCTTCTAAATCCACAATCTCTTTCAATCTTTTAAACTTTTTAACTATTCTCCGAATTATAAATTTGAAATTTAAAAATACTTCTGCACCAATGTACTTTTATAAATATAATGTCTTTACTTTATTAATACAAATTTTATATAATATGATTGAATCATACCTTTAACAGGTACTCGTCTTGCTCTTCTCTGTCGAGATATCCAGCCACCGTCACGTTTCCGCTCAAAGCATCGATAGTGAACTTGTTCCCTGGATTATCACTGAAGCTGTAGCTGACGTTTGCATTCTGACCGATGTCTAGATCGCTGCTCGTGATTCGTATAACAAACGTGCCAATTTCCGCATTCTCTGTCACGTTAACGCTAAACAATCGTGTAAAGTGCGGCGGGTTGTCGTTCTTGTCTAAAACGGTCACTAGTACCGTGGCGGTACCGGTTAACCAAGGATGGCCTTGATCTCTAGCTTCCACAATCAGTTCGTAAGACGCAATCTGAAAAAGTCCCGACATGTACCATTAATTAAACGATTGTTAATAACTAGAGATGTTCTTATAGAATCTTCAGACAAATTGATTTAAAGCAATTATAATAAACTTGAAATAATAATTGTGATTAATTATTATTAAAAACTGTACTTATAAAAATAATTGTAATTGATTATTTACCTCTTCGCGATCAAGTTTAACGTTAGTTTCAATCTGTCCAGTGTTGCTGTCAATGGTAAAAGACTCGGACAAATCATCGACCAGATGATAAGTGACCTGGCCGTTTTCGCCGGAATCGCGATCCTTCGCGGACACTTTGCCGACGAACAACGGCGGATATTCTTCTTCCAGCACTGTTGCGTTGTAAATGGCCGCCTCCATAACCGGCGCGTTGTCGTTAGCGTCCGTAACATTCACCAACAACTGAATCACACTACGTAACGTGGGTACATTTGTATTGTAGACCGAGACCCAGGCTTCGTAGTGCGGAGCAGTCTCGTAATCGAAACCAGAAGCAACTATGACCTAAACAAAATTATTATTTTGTAATAAAATAACATTAATAATAATTATAATAGCCAAAGATATTTTCATATATTTTTAAATATTTTCAAATTTTAGAAAATTGAATTATCTTAAATTCTTGAGAAGAAACAATTAACGTAAACAAAATTGTAGAATTCCAGTGTTTGAAAGTGTTTCAAATAATTTCGGAAACACAAAAGCATTTGATCTTAATTACCTCGCCGGTGAGAGAATCGATTCTCAGAGCGTCTCCAATGTTTCCACCAGCCATGTCATACAACAAAGTACCATTTTCATTGTTCTTCGATGCAAACGCGCTTAGCTTCATAATCACTTTGCCCTCTGGCACATCTTCGGGTAGCGTGAACCTCGTGTTGATGTTGGAATGAAAAGAGGGGAACAGATCTCGCTGCCACAGATATATCTGCAGTTCGGTAGTCACGTACTGGGGCTCAACACCGCAATCTGATGCTAGTATGTACACTGTATACATGTTTTTGTCATTCAGTTCCTTAGCGGCGCGAATCACGCCGTTGTCCGGATCGATGACGAAACGATGAGCGTCTGTGCCCTGTAGCTGATAAACAATCCGCGAGTTCTGGCCGTCGTCGTCGTCGATCGCTTTCGCGCCGAATACAAAGTTACCTTTAAACGGAGAAAAACTCGGTGTTATTGTATAAAACTCTCTTAATCAATAGAGATAATTTAATGGTCTTTTTGATTGGCAATTAATGCGCTTGGATCATTGCTAGTTTCATTACCGGGTTTGGCCGTTTCGGGGATGTAGGCCGAGTACTGGGTACTGGAAAAGCAAGGCGCATTGTCATTGGCGTCGTTCACGTAGATTGTCAAATTGACGGCAGCGATTCGAAGCTCCGTCGGGCTCGAGTCCCGAGCCACCATGGTGAAATGGTACACGGCGGTCGCCTCGCGATCTAACGGTATCGTGGTCACCACAACCCCCGTATCGGGATCCACGAAGAAATGCTCCGCTTTGTCTCCCAGCAGACTGTATCTGTGTGTTTTAGAAAAATAGTATTATTTATATATAATATTAAATATAAAATGTAATTAATGAGAAAAGTCAGATTCAATGTTTGCTCTATTATTCTGAAATTTGTATAATCTTTTATTCTGTATATTTTATTCGAAATATTTTTTACGTAGGCACATTTGGCAGATTTATCGATTCGGATTCTTCATTATTAAAAATTTATAAAAGAGTGTAACAGCAAAACTGTGCATTTCTTAGAATCACAAGTTCCTTAGTAACTGTTGCGTTAAATTAAAATCCGAGACATCGGTATTTTTTAGAATAAAATATTCACAATTTTAATTATGCGCAAGAAACCTACTTGATCTTCGCATTGAGTCCTTCATCCTTGTCCGTAGCGTCCAGCTTGGTGACCCACGTTCCGGGGGGTTTGTTCTCGTCCACGTTGGCCTTGTAGTCCTGCCGGGCGAACTCGGGGTTGTGATCATTCACATCAAGAACAACGATCTTGACGATGCCCGATCCGGTGAGAGGCGGTGAACCTGCGGAAAAACGCATGAAATTTCAGTTGTATTGTCGTCGAACCACCATAAAGGCAACCGATGTCGCATCGATACGTCGCGTTGTCCCTCTAGTCCGCTTTTATGCACTTTTATTGTTATCTCGCAAACCGTAACACAGCGCGGTCGTAGTTGGGTCAGTGGCGCGATTATTCCGCTAAATTTACGGCTTGCCTCTCGCGGCCCGTTTATGACGGTTTAAGTCGATCCAAACGGAAGGTAAGCCAGGATCATAATTTTAACAGAATATTATTACAGGGCTCGCAGGAGACGCCGGTCTAACTCGCGATCGTCAAGTGATTTAGAACTCGCTCGTATTCGTTTAGAGTATACTTTCGACGAGCGATACACCGGCGAACTGTCGCCCAATCTTCTTTTCGCGGATTATTAGACAGAGTAAACATGAAGAGCGCGTACAAACGCAAACTTTAAGGAATAAAGGTAGATTGACTGAAATAAAAGAATGAGCTCACATTGTTTACTTTGCAGACTACATTTCTTTAAAAAATCAGCAATTCAATAATAGTTTAAAGATTATAATTATTAAAAACTCACTCCTTTTACTCTTTAGATAAGAATTAAATGTCGAGAAATAGAAATTGATATTTAAGAACTGAAATTTGCATCTTTGAGCTTGAGCAGAGATTATTTTGCTAAATAAAAATCGTTAAAATCAACGAAAATGGCCCCAGATCGATATTCTGTCGGTAGCTCCTCTCAAAATCAAGAGACGGCGTACAAAATGACTTTTCCAAGTCGCGGAAATGCATGTTGCCGCGAAGTAATGGTCGGTCAGCGTGGGCAATTTAGTCGTGACACACGAGGCTCTCTAGCGGTGCCATTGTGCTACCGCTTATGATTTAGGGATTGGAGTACCAGGAGTAACGATGTTTGTGCATGCGGAAAAGTCTCGGCGCGGTTTAATTACGCCGCCTAAAACGCGCCATTATTCTCCGTAGAGAAGACCGGATTTCTCTGATTGCGCACCAGGTATACACGAGTACGTACATGGCGAGCGTTGGCGTAGCCCAGGGCCACGCGCCTGCACGGACGTACACCGTTCAATCACGCGGAGAGTTCCCGTCGAGGTACGAGAGAAAGGAAGAGAGAGAGAGAGAGAGAGAGAGAGAGAGAGAGAGAGAGAGAGAGAAAGAGAAAGAGAGAAAGAGAGAGGGGCGCAAAGGGAGAGCGAGGGAAAGACGGAGATGGAGGCTGAGTCTGAAACCGTATTTATCATGTTCTAGGTAAATATCCCGTAAGAGTACAGATTGGATATACAGGCTGCGTCAAAAGTTCCGTTCCTTTTCCTCGCAAATCCCTCCTCGACAGAATATATCTAACGATAAATGGAATTAATAGAAAAATTGAGTAATATTTGATAAACAAGTCTCTCGAACGTTATCTCGTCAGATATCATAATTCATACAAGAAAGCAGGAATTTATTCAAGTGCTGACTTTGCTTTTTCTAAAGCTTGAGAATTTTTTAACACGTTATATGTAAAACAACAGATTAACGATAAAAAATTATAATGATTGTATGGTGGTTTTCAGTAAACAAATTCCAATTCCTTCTTTCTTCCCACTATTATTTTATATGATAAATGAACTGTTGATTTTATAAGACAAATGTTTGATCCTTACAGCGTTAACAAATCATCCATTGTTAATCTATTGAATAAATGTAAAAACGTAAAGAAATAGGAGATATAAGAATAATGAATGTAAATGTCAGAACAATTATGAGTAAAAGCAGAAAAATAAAAGAAAAGCGTGAAGAAAACGAGAGACACCATGCGCGGTATAACAATCGCGGTGCACAATGGTGTGGGCCGGCGCGGACGCCGTTCCCAGGGGTTCACAGTCAGAAAAAAATGGCCCACTTTGCATAACGAGTAATTGCATAATTTGCTTACTGACTAATGATGGTAATGAAGCGGTAACTCACTTGTTACCGAGGATTTCCATCGAAAAAAATTTCGAACTCGGCTTAGAAGCCAAGAATATTGATTTTTAGGGAAACTGCAGGCCATGAATAATGCAAATATAAAGAAGAGAATTAGTGTACGTGGTTTTTTTATCGAAAAAAAGTTGAAACATTTTATTCAATATTGTTATTAAAGAGTTGAGAAAAATTTTATTTCTACCGAAAAGAAGTTAAAAAGCTCTGAAAAGTACTTTTCAAAATGCGAACAAGATATATTCTAGATATCTTACTTGAATCTTATGAATCATATTTTTTGATAGAAGAGAATATCCTGTTTATGTCTGGTAAACGTCGAAAAGATCGCCTCTTGAGAAAAACATCATCGTCGTCGCGCCAATGCGCATCTCAAAATACGCACTCCCGAGATGCGAGAGTGCACGCGTGACAACCGCGGTGTATGAATAAAGTAGAATATAATGTGCGAGAGCACGGGCAGTACCCAAAAGACGCATGGCTCTCTTTTTCTCTTTTTCTCTCTCTCTCTCTCTGAACGGAGAGGATGAGAGTGGATGAGAGGTAAGACTCCGAAATGCGCGCGACCGGCGAGACGGGGAGGGCAGAGGAGAGAAGACAGCGTGGACGAGACGGTGAGGTGGAAAGGAACGAAGTGAGGGAAGGAATAAGGCCCGCGGTCGAACGGAGTGGCAGGAGGAAGGAGCGGAGTGCCGAGGCAGGGAAGGAAGGCATTCGAGACCGATTATCATAATCGCGCGTCATAACTCTGCGGGCTTGTCTACCTCGCCGTGGACCGATTGGGCCATCGAGCCACCGCGACCGGGGGCGGGATAGCGGGGGGAAAAAAGAGTGAGAGGGAGAGAAGGGGTTAAAGCCGGGGTGGGACCGGGGGAGGACTACCGGCTTCTAAGAGGAAGGAAAGAAAAAGAAGGAGAAAGTTTAAGAGAGAGGAACTGCCCACCGCTTAAAGAATCTCATCGAACAACCCACAAATTTATATCCAATTTGTATATTACCGCTCATTACTTAAACCCACCGCGTACATCGTCTATCGCCTCTCGTCTATGTGCTGCGCAGCGTTCGCTGGCGGGATAACACATTTCGGTGGATCGTCGATTGATGAACGGCCGGTGCTACGGCTCGCATAAAGAATTAGCGCGTACCGATCGTGATTTCGCGGACGTCGATCTTTCGTAGAAAAATCATGAATAATAGCGATCAGAAGAAAACCAATTGCTAGCTAACTGAATTGCTTTTCACATAAAGAAAAGTGAGTACTATTACGTATTCAAGAATTAATACGTAATAGTAATTAAAATTCTAACGCATGAAACTTAAATGTAGTTATTGATCGAATGTAAATTAGGGGCCAATTATTTTTTACGATATTTTAATAAAATGTGGATACATCATTTCTAAAGATCGAATAGAAGTCTATATATATAAATATCATAATTAAGGAATAGCTCGACGTTATTCACGCCTCGTAGCAATCATTCATTTTCGATAAACTACCGTGCGTCCGTTAACGCAACCGCGCTGTTATATCGTAGTTTTACTCATCTGCATACGACCGGGTATTTAATGGGCGCGTGTTAACTCACCAGTATCCATGGCCACTAGAGTGAGCGTGTACTCGGGTATTAGTTCCCTGTCCAACGGTCGAAGAAGCGATATGTCGCCGGTGCTCGCGTTTATGCGAAATAAGTCCGTGTCGCCTTCCTTGAGGAAGTATCTCACTTGATCATTATATGGCGGTGTGTCCGCATCGTACGCCTTGACCTGCTAATTGGGTACAAAATATTTTCGCTCTCATTAAAATACATTCAATTTTTTTTGCGAACAAGAAATTTAGGGAATTATATGTAATTGTATACAATTAAAAATTTCAGAATTATTTTAAAATTATTATAAATACATGGCACTTATTTCTAAAAAATTGATTATTTAGTTTGATATCATAAATTTTATTTTATTTTATTCCAATTTTGAGTAAATATACTTTAAATATACTTCTACTCGTCGGTAGTTACCTGTATGACCAAACCGCCATTCGGCGGCACCATGTTCTCCATAACATGCGCTACGTAGGGCGAGTCAAGGAAGACCGGCGCGTTGTCATTGATGTCTAATACAGTAATCGTGACCTGGGCGGTGTCGCCGCGCGGTATTTTACCGACCTCTGCCGCGCAATCTTCGCCGCGGATTGTCAAATGATACCGAGATTTGCGTTCGAAATTCAGATTCTTCGCTACCCTGATTACACCGCCGTCTTCCGAGATTATAAAATCTCGATTATCATCCCCTGTCGCGATGCTGTATCTTACTCTACCATTCGCACCTTCATCACGATCCTTCGCCGAAACCTGAGTTGAGATGACAAAGAAAACAATGATTTATAATTTGAGATGTTTAAAAAGTTATGCTTTTTAATATTTCTAATTATTTTATCATTATTATTATCTATAATATACAGAAATTGTGAAAATGGCATTTTATCGGATTTATGAATAGATTCTGAAAATTTGTCTAAATTTATATTCCTTTTATTAAAAAATTTTTAATTTAAAGAAATTTTATTTCTGTTTTGTCTTTAATTTTTCTAAATTATGGCTTATTGCAGTTACACCGACCTGGAGCACGCTGGCGCCGATGCTGGCGTTTTCGGCGACAGTAGCAAAGTACTGCCCAGAATCGAATACCGGCGAGTTATCATTCTCATCGAGTACCATGATAGTGACGGTGGTCGACGATAATTTCGGTGGCTCACCGCGATCCTTGGCGGTGATTTCTAGGGTGTAGTTGGACTTTTGTTCGCGATCCAACGGCCCGGAGACGCGCAGTAGCCCGTCCACCGGACCCAGAGTGAACGGCAGGTTAATATCATTCTCCAGCAAATATTCGACGTAGCCGTTTCGACCTTCGTCCCGATCGACGGCCTTTATCGCCATTACCACCGTATTGCTCGGCGCGTTCTCGATTATGGAATTTTTTGTGGGCGATATGAATTCCGGCGACATGTCGTTCACATCCAATAACACAACCGTTACCTGTGTCATTTGAACAAAAGGTAATAAGAAGGTTGTAAACATTGCTTTAAATGTCAGAGGTAGACTGTCTTCTCCTTTTAGTAAAGAGTTTATTAGATATTATTAAATTTCAGTATCTTGTTAAACATTCCATTCTCTAAGTTTTTAAAAAAATCAAATTTTAAATTAAAGTTCAATAAGGTAAAATTTAGCTTAAATGAAACAAGACGTTCTAAACTTGTCTTTTTTTTAGATTAGAATATTTTTTTCTTTAGAAATTCCTTGAAACCAATCTTTGTTTAAATGAAATATCTACAGACATCTTCAGTTAAACTTGAGGAAAAAATAGATAATAATATTATATGTATTTCTCAATCAATTAAAAAAAAAATGTCAATTTGTTAAAAGAATTTAAAAATAGCGATCTTTAACTAAACTGGTTGAAGTTGTGGTTAAAAAAATTTCTGCGTTCATGTTTCCCCATTCACAAAATGTAGATTCACTAACCTGTACTGTGGAGGACAAGGGCTTAGCTGGTGGTAGCGGATTGTCGGTGGCACTGAGCACTAGGTTGTAGAGTGATGTTCGTTCGCGATCAAGAGACCGACGCGTGAAGAGGGTACCATTAGGCGCTACCCCAAAGTCTCCATCGTCGTCGCCGTCGGCGACAGCATAGGTGACCCTGCCATTGTCACCGGAATCCAAGTCCTGGGCAATCACAGTGAATACAGGTGTGCCGATGGTCGCATTTTCCATGATGTCGGCCGTATGCGGTCCCGTTTCGAATATCGGCATATTGTCGTTGAGATCGACGACATTACAGTACACCGTCACCGTGGACGACAATGCTGGCACCCCACCATCCGTCGCTTGAACAACGAAGATATAGTGCTGCACCTATCAATGACAAAAAAAATAAGGTATTCAAATAAAGATATAATTTTACAACTGTTACATCTTATGTAATTATATTAAAAGTTTAATGGTGGAAAGAATAAGAGAAAAAGTAAAGAACACAGAAAAAATCAAAAGATAAAACACGAAAGTTTGAATGTAATATAAAAAATTGACAACTTGCAACAAAGTGAATTTTTCACTGAACGATCAATTTTAAATTATGATTGAGAAACATAAATAAAGAGTGATTATTTTTTATTATGCAAAGTTATATATTACATAATGCATTAATTTGTATGTAATTAATGCATATTATATCAATATTCAAAATAATGTATAAAAACAAGAGAATGCAAAGGCGATCCCAAAAGGGAACCTCTTCTTCTTTGAAAATACAGATCTATAATCTGTACATCGAAATTAATTTTCATCTTTATTACAAATCGACCGATAACAGGTCCTTTTAGGAGCCGCACTTAACCGTTTTGCAAGGACTAAAATGTCAGTTTCGATGCGGCCGTGGCACCGTGCTATTTCTTTGTTTCCGATGCGTTTCACATACACACGCGTACACGCGCATTTCATGGCCCCGTAATGACGTTGGCGTGTATCTGGAAGGGCATTACATTGATGAAAGGTTCTATAAGCTACCCTTATCCTGTTCCTCTCGCTTATGCTCTTCCTTGCTTCTTCCTTCATCCTTCTCGATAGGAGCATCAACAACATTCCCGCTCGTCGTTCTCTCTCACATACGTATTGTAAAGCGTAAAACAGTGGCGTAGCCAACAGATGGCATAAAAGTAAGCATTAATATTGCAATTTTATTAATATTATTCTTGGCAATCAACGTACACTTTGCGTAAAGTAAAGCCAAATAAAAACTGCAAAGAAAATAAGTGTGTTAATAAATCAAAACTGATTAATTCTAGATTTCGAAACCGATGCGTATAATTAAAAAACATATTGTGATTGCAATTAAATAATCTAGACAAACAAGAAACGGAGATATCTTAATGAAGATACGTTTACACAAATATTTGAAACATCACGCTACATATATTAAATAAGATGATGGTCTCACAACCAAGATTGTCTCTAATAACGATATCTTTAAACAAACAGCTATCATTTTTCAGATAGAATATATTATGATTTCTAGAAATGCAAATATTTGATGATTTTTATCCAAAATATGGATATTTTTTATTTGCAGTTAATTGGAAGAAAATTATTGTTGAAAATTCCTTTTCTTTTTATCCTATTTAGAAGATTATTGCTGATTGTCGCTTCATAGAACTTTGGTTACGCTGCTGGCACAGCCTGTGAAGTGTACGTGCCCCAAAAGTATGGCTAAGTATGGCTTGTCTCCGAAATGTAGCACCGGAGAGACTGCCATTAAAGACTGTCTGTTCATCGATCTGTCGGACTGTTATAGCGTTAAACCCTAAATTCTAGCGTTGCCCTCCGCTCCAGGTAATATAATAGGTGTGCTCTCTGATGCTTGAATGTAGAGGCGTGTTCATGGTCGTAATCGTTGCCCCAGGCATCCGACGCGTTTTAGCGTTATATGCGTGCGTCTTTTAGTTCCGACTGATCTAAACGGAACTTTATCTCGACCGCTGTTAACCCTTTCGCATCCAGTGACCGTTATGATGGACATATCTATAGCGATATGTAAACATGTGGCTTCAACATTGTCGTTCCATTTCATAGATCAGGATGATGGCGATCATTTTACGTAGCGTCTTTTTACGTGGAATAATAAACGAAGAAGAGACAAGTCACGTTACGTAGAAAGAGCATCGCTGATATATTGTTAGATTTCGTTTATCGATGATTTCTCGCGAATTTATGAACAATTTATAATCATAAACATGAAAAAACGACTCATAAAAAATTCATCTTTTTTTGCTGATAAACAAGGATTTAAATCGAAGAGGATTGAAATTGCCGAATAATTGCCAATCTGATTTACGCATAATCGCCATTGATTATAACTTCATTTATGCTATCATCCTGTCCACGGTCAATCAAAATCCAGGCATCAAAACAGATCATCGCAAAACTTCTCACGAATACATAACTTCTTTATAATCCTGAAGCGATTCATGTAAAATTCAAACTTCTCCATCAATATAAATATAAAAGACTTTAACATGAAAATGCCAAAGTCGTAATTTATCGTCTAACTTACAATCATTTTATTTACAACAAAATTCTTAACTTTTCAATGTAAGTAACGGCGCGTTGTAACTCTTCCGGTACTAACCTGCTCATAGTCGAGGCTCGCAGTAAGCGTAAACACGCCGGTGTTAGGATTCAGGGAAAACACATCATTCGCCCAGTCGGAGATAAGTATGTAGCTTAGTTGACTATTAGGTCCATCGGCGTCGGCGTCCGTCGCGACGACCTGACCGACGCGGCTCCCTCTGGGCATGTTTTCCGGCACGTCAAAAGAATATGCCGTACTTTGAAATGTTGGCGCATTGTCGTTGGTATCAGTAACCTGCAAAAAGCATTTCCGAGATTTCTTATTAGCGATAATAAAGGTATACATAAACAATGATAAAAGATTACATTATCTTCATCGTTAAATGACTATAGCTTTAGAAAATGTATTGAGAAAAGTATTGGTTGAAAAAATTTACTCACAAGTGATCATTATTTTTCAAGATAAAGTTTTAAATAACTTTTTCCTTTTAAGATTATGGTGCAACACATGATGTTATTTCTAAGAAAATTGCTTGTCCTTTGAAAGTTAGCTGCCTACTTCCTTTCCAAGAATTTCTCCGTAAGAACAATTTCCTTTAAAGCTTGTTTCAAAGGAGTGAGTTCAAACAGTGAGTTGCTTTCATTTCCAGCGTTCCCCGTACCTTTCATCCCTCGTAAAGGCGGTAGGAAAGATTTGCCGTGCATCGTACGTTGAGAGCATACATGCACGCTTCTTAATAGACCCGGAAGCCCCAGAAGGGGATGGGGGGGAGGGGGTACGTGCGATCTTAAAATAAACACTCGGGGAATAAAATCGGCTCGAATCGGCGCGCACTCGACGTCATTCTTGGATAAACACCGCCACCGGAAATATTCTGCGCTCGCTCGCCTCATTCGCTTTCGAATTATTGTACCTGGCTCCTTTCGCGAGCGGTAGTCCCAGCGCGAGAAAACATTCTCAGGGTCCTGCGGGCTATTTATTCATGTAACAATGCGCTCATTGTGATCAATCGTCGCGGCGGTGAAACGCACGACGGAAAAAAGCGGCTCTGGATCGAAGGCGAGAATAAATAGCGCCAGTAAATATAATTTTCATTGCCGTGTAATATTTTTAGTATCTTCTGCATATTCCTTTTATGGTCAATTAAAAAACCCATTATCGCGAGTTAATCTGTAAAAATTTTATAATTATCAATTCTTGTGTTTCCAAAAATACGTATGGTGTCCATGAACACACATGAAGATATTTGCTTTTTTATAAGAGAAAATATTTCATAAAATTGCTATAATAAAATTCGCATATTTGTATTACTGCGGAACAATAACTGAGAGCATACATATTAAAATAGAATACCTAATAGCATTGGACAGAAAATCGTCGGCGCGATTAACATCGCCGACGTTTTATTATTCAACATTAAATTCAATACGACGCCTTGATTCCGCCCGATCATCTTTTTATCGTTCGACAGAATTGCGCGAGTCTAGAAACGAGAAGTAGTTATAGTAGAAGTATTTATTTTTCAGAAGAGAATTTACATTTTTGGCGCATTTGTCAAATTAAAAGTAGCGGCCGTTCTGTCTATGGCTTGCCGAAAAAGCGACCAAAAACGGCATGCAATAATTTAAACAGACGATACCTCGGCATCGATTACGTCAATCTCGTGTATACATATAAATTACGATCAAAAATATGTAAATTATATTGTTCCTAGGCAGGCATACTAACGCACGCTGAATCTATAATAATTTAACTTAATTTATCTCTCGATAAATCGGACCAAAACTACATATTATTGTATATTACTATTCTTTTTATTGCATATTATCCGTTTTTGTTAAAGATTTTCAAAAAATTTGTAATTCAACAGTTAATGGAAGCTGACTTTTTATAATATAAAAAAATGTTTTTTGGACACATTTTCTAACTTCCCATAAATCAGGTTATATATATATATTATCGTTTATAACCTAACTTATGAAAAGTTAGAAAATGTGTCCGAAAGATTTACTAAATATTTAAATCCAAAAATTAGAAAACATTTGTGTTTATTTATATATTACATATGCAATGAAAATACAGATTAATATGTAATTCTAGATTATTGTACACAAAAAGTTTTGCCATTACAGAAAAGTTGTCAAAGTTGTTATTATTAAAAATGTGATTCAGCAGAATCAATACTATATGACGTTATCAAATAAACTAACAAAACTACTTTTATCAATGGAATAAGAAAAATCTTCTAGCCTTGCTTTTAGCAATTCCACATGAGTGTATTTTCTGATCGCGTCTTTTCATATCTAGTTTCCACCATTTCTTCATAAGAGGGAAAGTGCGAAAGTCAGCCATCATTAAAAAGATTAGGGCACAAAAGTATTGAGAGGTGCCGCAGATTTATTCAAACAGGTAGCTCCACTTTGAAGATATTGTCAGGCGCTAAACGTAACGTCACGAATTTAGTTGGCGACAATTGGTGGTTGATCAATTTGCGTCGGACATTCCAGATTTCAGCGCAACAGTAAGACCGCGATCATTTCATATATTCATGATATCCGTATCTTTTATCCGTTTTAGATGTAATCCGTAAACAAACGAATATCAGAAATGCCGTACTAGCGACGCGTAATCGTTTCGTTGCATTGTTCGACCCGCACGATCGCGATCAATGCGTTTCTCAGCATTCGAAATCAGAGTCCGTAGCTTCGCGTTTCGTCGTGAAACTCTATTTTTCGACCTTCATCTCAACCTTCATCTTTAGCACATATTTGCTTGTCGGGTGGTCATTACGAGTAGAATTCAACGCTAGAAACATCGAGTGGCATTGATGGAAGCATCGAGAAATTGCCGGATTCATCAAAATAGATGATGCCACTTGTTTGAGATATCGAATATTTGCCAGGTAATACCGTGAAATTTGATACACGAACAGGACATCACGAAGTTGGTTAACGGTGAGTTAGTTCACGTCGAGCACACAGGTACCGCGGTCGAATTGCGATTATTCCGCGTCATTTCTTGCGCCTTTTTTATATTATATAAAACCGTCTTAAATGAATTTCCTCTGGACAAGCATCGGCAGTGCCGAATGAATGACAGATAATCATCTCCGTGCGTGTATTTATCCGTATGATTGCGCCTGTTTGCAATAACGTGTCGAATAACCGCGTAAAATAACCTATTTGCTGCTATTGCACATAACGGATTTCGGAAGTTTCAATTTCTTGGTACGCGAGTCAATCATAAATTACAAATTTAGTGAACAGTGTAATAGTGCGCGAGTAATTTCATTTGCATAATTGTTGATCTATTCGCTAATTTATTAAAGCGATTAGAAAAATATCTGCTTATTTTATGATTAATGATTCTTAAGTTTGATCATAGACGATGATTATCTTGATTTGGTTCTGATTATATTATATTATTTATCATTCATGATTAATAAATCATGATCATATTTAATAATTATTATAAATTTGATTATAAATTGCGATTATGATAACGGTATAACACAGCAGCTTATGTGTTGAGTGCGTCGTTTTTGCAGACGACGATTATTGAATATATTTTATATTGACAAAATTAATAAAATACATACAATGCGACATGAGAGAAGGAAATTAATATGCTTTTAAAGCTTATATTAGACACGCGAATAAAAGTTGTTAAGTTTATTTACATGACCAATACGCATGCATAAATACAGTATTTGCACATTTATGGAATATTTACGTTTGCGTGTAAGTGCGAATTCAGATATCGCTTTGATGTTTACGAGCTGCGATAATGTCGCTATCGACATCGCGTACATAAGTACAGAATGGCATTAAAAAGTGCTGCAATAAAAATTATACAATTTTCTAGCGAAAAGTCTACGTGTTATAAATAATTTATCTCTCTATTATATCACAATTCTACATACTTGAACACATTGAGAGAGACGGGGGAACATACTTCTACCATCCGCGAACATGTCTCGTTCGCGGAATCTGGCTCCGTCCAGCCGCGTTTGTTGTCTCTCGATCCTTTTTCTTCGTCTTCCTCCTCCCTCTCGCTAACTCCTCGTCATCCATCGTCGTCTCGGGACACTGTCGCTTTTTACAAACGTCTCCGTGCCCTCTTTAGGCCACTGTTACTTGTGATTGTTTTTATCACAATTACTCTCGCGGAATGTATTTTATATTCCAACATCATATCTCTATTTTCATTGTTCTTAAAATTCATAATATTCTATATATTTTTTAAATTTGAAGACACATACGGGAAGGTTTTTTTAATCGTAAAGCAATTTGCGCGATATATAATACATGAGAGCAGCATATAATATGCTGTATTTTCGAATTAAAATATAATTTTTCATTATTTAAAAAATTTATTACTATTATTATTTTTTTAAAACAAGTGAACATTGAAATAATTTGAACGATAACTGCATGCATTATTTTTTTATGACAATCGCTCAATTAGAATTTATCCGAAAACCGCTCAGTTTTATTATTTTTTTTTTTTTGTAATTATTAAATATTTTGCTTAAATTAATATATTTCTTAAATACTTTTAATCTCAGACAGAGAATAAAGAGAGAATAGAAAGTATTTTAACGTGCATGTATTATATCATTGACAATAGTCCATTTTATTCTTTTCTTCAATAATAATTCCGAATAAGAAAAGGGAAGCAGCGAAGAGAATTGGAGAAAAGATTTTCCAAGAGATTCAATAAGTCGATTGAGAAAGAAACGTTGCTTATGGTTAACGAGAAGAGAGTGAGAGAGTGAGAGAGAGAGAGAGAGAGGAGGAGAGGAGGAGGGAGGGGGAGGAAGGAAAGGGAGGACGGCACGAGGA